CCCAGTATCCATGAGCATCTCCACTGGTTTCTCCTGTATCATTCCCCAGAAAATGATTTCTCCTGCTGGCTTCTTCTATTTCTTCCACTTCATTTGGTTTCGGGCATCCAAATAGTATCCAGTGTTCCTCTTCTCTGATGTACATTTAGCTGCTATGTGTCCAATGCCTCCACACCTATAACATTTCCTTTGATCCTCTCTCTTCTGACCTTCTCTGGCAGGTCTGTCTTCCTGCTTCGGCTGCTTTTTCTTCGGGCAATCACAATACATGTGTCCCTTCTCACGACATCCATGACATCTCTTGTCCTCCTTCCTCATTCCTTGACGTGCAAGCAGATAATCATCTGCTTGTGTTGCTGCTTCCTCAACAGTTTTCAGCTCCTTTTCACGTATCGACACCTGCAACTCCGTTGGCACGGTGTTGAGTAACTGCTCTAAGACAACTAACTCCGTAAGTTCTGCGACACTGTCCTTTGCTGACGCAGTCCACTTACAAAACAAATCCATCAGTTGTACTCCTACCTCCACATAACTCTGTCCCGCTTTCTTCTTTGTAGAACAAAACCTCTGGCGGTAGGTTTCTTCATTGATATCATATCGCCTGAGAATAGCTTTCTTCACACTCTGGTAGCTCTTAGCACCTTCACTATCCATGTTGGCATAGGAACCGGTGTAAAAAAGTGGCCAATCTGTGTTTTTAACTTTGGCCATCAAGAAATGTGAAATTTGTGATTTTTTGTTTCAATTTCTGCTTATAGAGCAAGATTACAGATAATTTGGAATGCAGATTAGTAGATTTAAAGATATGTGGATTTGCAGATTTGCAGATAGTGGATTTGCAGATTTGCGGGTTTGCTGATTTGTTGATTTGCTAATGTATGCATATGCAGATTTGCAAATGTGGGGATTTGCAGATTTGTAGATTTGTAGATTTGCAGATGTGGGGAATTGCAGACCATGAGATTTATCCAATATGAAGATTTGCAAATACAAAATATGCACATGTAGATTTGGGAACTTTAAGTGTATGCATTTAGGGACACAGGTTTGCAGATATTACGTATAATACATTTTAACTTTTCATACAAAAAACTATCTCATTTGCATATAGTTTAGGATTAATGCCTAATAGTATAATGCATATATTTGGTGAAAATGTTCAAATTTTAGTTTTCTCATTCGTGTAGAAACAACACAAATTTTTAGATGAAAATAAAATTGGTGACTAGATTAAAATTACTAGATATATAATTTCATTTCATTAAAAATGGAGGCAATTGATAAAGACAATGTCATTGAAATGAGAAAAAAAGGCTATACTTATAAAAAGATAAGTGAGATATTAATGTCAACCCATCCAAGTGTGAGAGGACTATCAGAACATTCTGTGCGACGATATTGTAAAAGGTGGGGTATAGACAAGATGGACAATGTCGAGCTTGATG